AAAAATGCATCGATTCTATTTAGCTTTACATTGCAAGGATCAGCTATGTACCAGGTAAAAATCTTCAGAAAAATACATATGCATGAAACTTAAACTACAAGACAGACTGCAATTATCTTCTTTTTCTTTTTTATATCTGTGTATGTAGAGCGAGAAGCAGAATACCAGGATTGCAATGCTAGACAAACTGACAGTTGCACTCATAAATAAAAGTAACCGTAATACGAAAATAGGCAGTCATTTGTAAATCAAAAAAATAAAATCTATCACAGGAGATAGCTGAACTTAAGAATCCGAACTCACAACTGACTAGCAAGCATTTGTATAATTCATTGCATTGCACAAGATTGTAATATGAAAAAGGGAAAAAAGAACTTTGAGCACAATGACATGTCATGATGAACTCTCTAATTCTTTCACATAGCTAAAGCAGTAAAGGCATTGGAAATGTGCTTAGCTGCATAGCTGGACAACATCAGAGTAGTGTCTTCTAGTTATTTATATAGTTGTCTATTTTGTGCAACCTTATCATCATTGTTGCATTAAAGATCAGAAATTTCGAACAAATTTTGCCTCATCAAAATAGCATGAATATGGTTAATCAAAAGCATTTCTTTACCTACTTCCCTTCTTTGGAACAGATACCCCATCTTTGGCCTTTTCACCTGCCATCCGGGAATGAATAAAAAGGCCCATACTTTTATTAATGTGTCCCCAAAATAATAGAAAAACTATCTATTTATCCACATTGCTGATATAGACAGAATTGTGAATTTAAAAGCTTTGCCAGTAATTAAAAAGTGAGTTGAAAAGACTTGTAGCGGTACTGACCCTCAGATTCACTCTTCAATTTCTCGTTGGGATTGATAGTTCCTCCACGAACAAAAGTCTTGGACCCAGGTGCATTTTCTCCTTGAAATGACTCCACAAATTCCGCATACAATCGGGCAGTTTCATCCTCCTCTCTCTGCAAAATGTAATGAAATGAAATTAATGTGACTATTCAATATATCTTAGTGCCTCAGATAGTGGAATTCACCAAGCAAGTTAGACTAAATACCTTCTTCTTTGCCTCTTCCTCCTCTCTGTGCTTTTGGAAAGGAGTCTTTTTCCGAGTGATGGAAAATGAACTCATGTTTGCATCAATTTCTAGACAACATTAATAAACGTCAAATCCAGGCACAATCAAAAAAACCCACGTCAAAACTCGAGCCTCAATTCGTAAATGACTGGTGAAAGTTATCTAGATGACTAAAAGAGCGGAATTGCTTACTGATAATGCTCAGAACAACCCCAACACGCTTGGATTAATGCTGTAGCGACTTACGCACTACCATATAAACAAAGTAGCCACGATTTTTCTTTCACAAACGAAGCACAAATTAAGAAGACCGGAGCCAAATAAATTTAATTCCATTCGAATTCAGCTTTCCTAGAAAGCTCAGTCTAGGTGTCCAGTCAGTTACCATAAACAGGCAACAGCAACGAAATCAAAAACATCAAAATACGCGACCCAAGATTGATAAACTGAAAACCGAACACAAACCGATACTCTTAACCACAAAGCCAGAGACAAAATCATCCGAGATAGCTAAACATTGATAAGAAAACGAGCTCGCATGGAAAAACAATAAACACCAAAAAAAAAAAAAAAAAAAAAAAAAAAAAAAAAAAAAAAAAAAAAAAAAAAAAAAAAAAAAAAAAAAAATC